GAAAATGTTTTTGTGCTCAAGGATAGATTTTTGACCGCGGAATCTGCTCATGATAAAAAAATCCAAAACTTATGTGAAGTGACAAAAATATATGCTCCAGACAATCTCATATCGTCTGGTGACCGTCTGGTGACGGACTAATTTTGAAAAAGATAGTACTTCACATAAGTTTTCGAATCTTTTTGCATAATTCTTTTGCAAATAATTTTCTATGTATATAGTTCAATTTTGGAGTCATACGATTCTGTGTGCGCTGTAAACAAGCAATTTGTTTATTTTAGCCTTGCTTTCAAATCGCGCCCACTTTTCGCCATCATGATAGAGCAATTCAGTCGTGTAATAACCTGTTCGAAAAGCTTGTGTTCGACTAAATGACGCCTATTCTTGGTGCTCGGCCCCGACTCGTCAAAAACGATATCTTCTTTGCTTTTTGCTCCAAAAACGAAGTTCAGCCTGCTTCCAGACGATCTGTACCGGGCCCTGGTCACCTGTATCCTCGTTGATCGTCTGTTGCACAAGTGGGTACCAGCGTTGCCTCCATTCGTCTCTGAAGAACTTTACTAGAGGATTCGTGAGTATATATGACGCTTCGACGGTTTCCCCATTGGCATTTGACGTCCAATGGCACCCAATTTGTCACTGCTCTCGCTCCTGATAATCGTCAAAAAACTCATCACGTGTCCGGCCCAACTATTTTGTCCTGTGTATGGGCGGCAGAATCCGTTATCTTCGATCTTTTAGAGTAGAATTTCGAATTCCTTCCTATTTGCGTGAGTCAGTTCACTCCATCACTCTCTCAATAGCACATGAAACGTACGTCGAAACGGGAGGAACCGTCGAGTTGAAGAGGTGGCGCGGACGTGTTTTTGGTCTTCCTCACTATGTCCTCAGTCTCATATGGTCCTCAAGCTTCACTTTTTCTCCTGCTCATTTCTGGAGCTATATCGTTTGTCACATTGATTTCTCAATTCAGTAGGTGTAGCTTGAGCATTGGGTGATTTCGTCTCGTTAATGAGAGGAGGGATCAGGCACTTACGTTCTCCATTAACAACGTCTTCGTTTAGTTTAGATTTAGACCCAGCATTGTTTTGTCTGCATGATGCTTATTGCTACCAATATAATGTTATCAGCAAAGCGAAGGTGATATAGTTGCCGGCCTTCGACTTTCACTCCCATTTCGTCCCATTCTAATGTGTATATGACTTTCTCGAGGGCGGCGCTGAATAGCTTTGGCATTATAGCGTCGCTCTGTCGACACCTCCCTTCACATCGATGATGAGTTCTTGTAGAATGATGTGGTGTGATAGTGGTCATGGAGTCGTCCTATTCGATGTATCGTCGCATTCCCGGGAAGTGCGAAGTGGCGAAGTGCGTTCATCTTAGTTTTGAAGCTGGCAAAACTTCGGCGCATTGCAAACACTTCTTCCAGCCTCCACGGCGTCAACCATCACTGCTATCTTTCTTCCAGGTCTTCTTGCATAGCTTCTATGCATCGTTTCGCAAGTTTTGACGTCAGTAGCAATGTATGCGGCTCGTCGTCCGCAGGCGTATCAGCTCCAAAGTCCCGATGAAAGATTGTCTTCGTACTTCCTTCTGCTTTCTTAGCGAAATTGTGGAGATGCTGGACGAACCTTTCGTATCCTTCGTGGATGTTGTCGAATCACGATGTTTTGCTGAAAGCCGGATATCGAAGAACAGTTTTCACTTGATAGTATTCGTGCGACGGTGTTTCTTGTGGCCATAATAATCAACGAACCCACTGGGTAGACTAATCTTTTGGTGAGTACGCCCGCTGGTAGGCTTACCCATTAGGTTTGTGATTACCGACCAGTAAATGCAGTGAGTAGCATACCAATGGATAGGCTAACCCACTGCGTTCGTTGTTGAATACGGCCACTGGACTCAAGGACTCTCTCTCTCTCTCTTTCTCTTTCTCTTCCGTGAGAGGTAGAACCTGGTGCATAAAAGCGAGCCTGATTATGTGAAGTACTTCGAACAACGACGTTCGTTAGGTAGTGCCTTCTATTGACTATGATGTGGTCAGTCTGGTTACGTTATCGGTTCCCAAGACCAGCGTCGGGAAGGGGGCTTTCGAAACTGCGAGTCATGGGTGACTCTCACCATTGGGGGACTCGGACAATCTTTCACCTCATTCGTTCCACTTTAGTCCATTTGTCCCGATGTGAAATTCCGCCGGCAACCTTTAGTTCCGATCTTCTCCTTGGAATCATTGAAGATGGTCTTGTAAAAGGTGTGGTCTCCTTTATAGAATTCCAAACCCATAGAGAAGGCCACGAGCTTATCCTTACCATTGCTGCTGGCATACGCAATGAAGGTGGTCGAAGTTGGGATTGGTCCACATTCATAATTCGGGTTAAAGGGCTCTTGTTTGTCATAGAGTAGGCGGAGCACTGCCGAAGTATTCGCGTAGCGGTTTTTGATAGCGAGAGAGCAAAACAGTGTCCTAGAATGATAGTTTACCGGTATGTCTAATTGACTGGAGTGATCCGCCTATTTTATAGCATTTATTTTTTTTATAGTAAGCGAGCATACGATAGTTGTCGAAAAAATCATGCTTACCAAACCCGTGTTGAGGAGAATTCCCACCACCAACTTCTTCAATGTCGCATGTTCCGGAACGGTTTTTGTTCAGTTTTAAACGTATACTTCCGGCGGTGGTGTCTTCTTGTTTGGGTCAGTCCGATGTTATCGTGCTTCTTCCTTGCTTGCATCATCAGATCTTCAATGGAGGCGTCCGATGCGGCCTTCCGTGCGTTGTAGGTAACCATCATCATTATCCGTCTCCTTGGCAGCCTGGATCGCCCTTCAAACCTGATCTCTACTGGCACTGTCTCATTGGGCCTTCCAAGATTAAAGGGCTTTCCATATTGTCACTGCATTCAACTATCATTTTGCAGGAAAGACTGCTTATTGGGCTCGAAACTCGAGCGTATTTGCGCTTGATCAGAGCAGTCACGAGAACTGCATTTGGTTGGTGACTAGCCTTCTATCCGCCATATAGCCTCGCGACTAACCGCTTTTCTTGCATTTCACCAGTGAAAAAGTTAGTCCGACATCTGTGACTTTAGTGGTACATTCGAGAACGTCTTGCAGACGTTTGACTAACCTGTTCAAATCTGCTGCTGCCTGGTTTCGGACAATGTACTATGTGGAATCAACAATCTCCAATTTTGTGCGACTCAGAATCTCTTCCGTGCTAAAGTGGCATGACGCCAGCCTAGGGAGTGGGGCAGACACATGACTCGATGTCACAAGTGGAATTTTGCAAAAGTCAGCGAGAAGGATTTTACAATGCTGCCATCCGCGGGAGACGGCCCTTCTGAACCGCTAACATTAGTAGCCTAATTACTGCGCGCCTCTGATTGGTCGGAGTGCCGCGGCACTTGGGTAGGCGAGACCTATGTTGGAGACGTTTGAACTGGACTGCAAAGGCATTCTCATGTTGAAAAGAATTAAACAAGATTTCGAGTTTCCCATGTAACTCAAAAATGTTATACGTGGGCGGCTTAGGGTAAATTCTTCAGCTTACAGTGCAGACTTATGGTGTTTTGAAAACTGGGAAGGGCGAAGAAATCACGAAATAGTCTTAGAAACATGCAACCTTTCCAATTTTTTGTCTTCATAATTCCATCCTCACTGCCATTGTCGTGTGTCTCACTTGCTTTGGAATGCTCAGAAATTTGAAAACTCTGCTAGATTATAAGAAAGGCGAAGTAATTAGCATTGCCCGGACAGAGTAATTAGCGCTAAGACGGAGCGGTTCAGAAGGGCACACACCCGCCATCCGCGGATTAATACATCACTTTTCCGCCGTCACTGCGCCCCTTCACCGAAACGCGCGCCATTTACGATCATGTCCAAAGTCGGAGCGCGTTATCACGCAGCTCCATACGTCAACATGATTTACGTGGAAACATGGAAGAAGTGGATACTTAGGGAGAAATGATCATTGCATGGCATATTTCTGTAAAAGGTTTAGTTGACCACCGACTCGAGAGATATATCCTGAGATTCCTCAATTTGGGTTAACAAGCTATATTGTACTGTTGGTCTTTGCTGCAGTCACTCCAAGAGAAGAGCGACCATTCCATAGTCAGTTTGTTGCTCCCTCTCATTTTTTTTGTCGGAGACGTGAACATTGATCATAGGATCCAGGTCCGAGGTAAAAAAACATTCAAACTTTTGTTGTTCTTTCATCTCGTACAGATAACTAGTCTGGAAATATCGTAGTGACGCAAATAGGGCTTTACAATGTCTTAGCATATGCGAGTCTCTTCACAAGGTCCAGTCTGCAAGCAAGAACACTGCCATACTGTCATATATTCTGAGATTAGATTCTCGAGAACGCTCGTTGGTTAACATTTAAATTCCTATGATTTCAAATGGAAAATCGCCTAATCATGAAAGGATGGAAAGTAATTCGTTTACAAACAGAAAACAGTGATGATTGGTGAGATATAACTTGTTTTTTTTTCACTTAAGTAGAAACATAGGGTTTGCGATTTCATATTTATAGCGTTATCTACATAAATTTGCAGATCTTGGTAATTATACAAAACAACTGGAGTCATTGATGAAACACCATGCGTTCCGAAGTTCTTTTGGGTTGATGAAACATAAAAAGACAAGAAATTTAAAAGCGAGAAGATTATGAATCGTTACCACAACAAATTGTAAAGAGCACTGTCAATAAACAAAGGTGTTTATTCCTGCGAAAGTATCTCGGCTTCAGAAAGAAATACTACTTTTTTAAATACTTACTACAATGCAAAAAATCAACTCGTGCTCTTTCATCTGAAAGAAAAGTTCCGAACAACACGGCTAAGAGACGTGCAGAACACCTTCGTAAATATCTGTGCAGGGACGATGTTATTTCTGTTTGAAAATCCTTCTCAATCCTCACTCATTCTACGCTTTTCGTTTTCAAGGATAATGCGCATGATTCGTTGTTTCTTTTGCCTCTTACATCGTCCAAATCTAGACTCACCCTTTCAGATATCTGCTGGTCTGATTCCATGTGATAACGGTCCGTCAGCATGAACTTTGTCATTCCGAAGAAAAAACGTGCAGTAGAGAAGCCCGTTGTAGGTGAGTAGCACTTTTAATCGTAATTTTTGAAATTTCTATTTTCCAGTGGTGACTCTTAATCGATAAATTATCGGTACTTGATCTACCTTGATGTTTGCAGATATATCTTCACTTGAGCCTAAGGCTACGATTGAGGATGCACCAAAAGATTCGGACAAGTTCAACACTGTCAAGAACATCGTCTTGAATGGCCTATCAGATCGGCAAGTTCAACAATTTTTGAATGTGGACAAAGCACAAACAATAAAAAATCCGTTTCTTGAGTATAAGGTTTGTTCTGTCTTGGGTAAGACTTTCTGCTCTGATTTTATATTTATAGTATGACCAGTTTAAAGCAAATCTTCGTAGTTGTGGACAAAGCGATGCAGAGAGCTACGAATTTCTCCTGCTTGGATATGACAATGATGATGTGGGTGGCTATCATTTTCTCGATTGGTAACTCTTCAATTTTCCGTAAAGTGCATTATTCAGCTGACACATATAGCCGACAATGGCTATGCTGTTGGTACCTCCTTCATTGGTGATCTGGGAGCACCAACGCGAGGTTACCTTTTTCACGATTTTGTATTTACCTTTTTCACGATTTTGTTTATATGCACGGTTTCGCATAATGGTGTGTCTTATAGGGGTCTATCTCTACCGTTACGTAGATCTTGTGTCCCCTTCACTTTTTTATAAAGAGGAGACCATGCGAGTCATGGTTTTCCGTACATTGAGGTATTTTTATTTTTCTTACTTATCTTCTGCTTTTGTAACTTCTTTTTACGATTTCTTTATTTGATAGTATACTTGTAGAGGGAAAAGTTACTCCGTTGGACTCGGGTCTACGGAACTGGAACCTACTATGGAGTGTTGCAGCCATATCGCAGCTAACGATGGCATTCCAAATTCGCGAAAATCTCGGCAGCAATTGCATCGTCAGGCAGCGGTTAGCATTCTCATAGTCTGATCTTGTCACTTGAAAAACCGGAAGAAAAGTTTTTCAGGTATATCATTACGAGTACAATAAGGATCTATCTGTTGCTGAAGTCCCTTCTGGAGTCCTACCATTTGCGGTTGTGGATCTAAAGTTTAACCTGCCTGAGAAGACTCACTACTCCAACTTTCTTTCAGCAGCAGGGTAAGGATACCATTTTTCAAACACTTGAAATGTTGATCTTTTTTCCAGATACATTAACGAAGCCCTCTATTTCACTCCTGTGTATGAAGGTAGTCTCAACATACTAGCTGCAAAATTTCCGCGGGCAGTATTGAGCACAAGTTTTGAAGATTCTAATAAACCACATGGATTGTGAGCTAGGTCTACTTTCTTGTTTGCCTTTTTATTATGCAATTTTGAGGGACGAATCCTTGGGGTTTACGAAGCTGCTTTTATGGGCAGATGTGTTTGATATCAAGGGCGTAAGTCAGTTGATGGCTCAAGATACCTGGGGTTTGATCGCTAGACAACGCGAAGTTTGCGTCAAGGTGAGCTTGCAGATCAGACCTTGTAGATGCATCCGATATTCTGAATATGTTTGGTCATCTCAGAATGATTCCGATCGCGAGAAATGGAAAGTTCGATATGTTTCTCACTTCATTTGGACGTGCGCTGATCCACGCTTTATCACCCTAATCAACAGCATGCGCGTCGAACAATGCGTGAGTCCCATTATCTTGTTTTATACTGTGGTTTGCAGCACTTATTCATAGGCTCTCACATTGCTAAAAATCATACAAGACGGCTTTATATCTTCAGGCTGCTGTTGCGTATTCCATAGATGCATCAACGCATATAGCGTTTCCATCTGGACAGTTTTCAAGCATTCTTGGATTGCCGTGGCTTCATACACCTGCTCTTCATGTGTTGATTATCAACACTAATCCACTTTTCTATTTCGATCCAAATGATGAGTTTTGCTTGAATGAGGAAAGGTAAGTGTCCATCACCACCACTTCCATCAAAAGTAGCTCGCGTTTTAGTGTACTTGCCACGAAGACGCCTTTGGGCACTGCCATCCTAGATGGAGACGACGTTGCTTTATGTCGCTTTTTTGATAGTCAAGCTGCACCTCAATTAAATACAACCGGTAGAAGAACTGCGTGATAAAATATTTGCTCTATATTTTCTTGTTTTGTATTAGATAATGGTAACGGGTCTGTGCGTCCACCGCCTCGTGTGCAAGCTATCAATGGAGATTCTCCGCGCAAGGAATCTCCTCGGCAAAGCATTGACGGTTGGTACCTAGTCGAATCATAGTAGTGAGATTGCCGTTCTGTTCATACATTTCGTTTGAAGAAGTCCCTTCTACACCTCAAAGCGATACGGATGCCGAGCATACTCCTCCGCCAGCCGTTAATCTTCCATCTTCAGCCGGAAAAAGTGAGCGTGGTATCCTACAAATCTTGCGTATCGCAAAATGTCATGCATACGAAATCTTCGTCATAATTGAACTTTTTAAAATCAAAATTTCCTATCGTTCATCTTTTCTTAGGCTGCCTTCGAAGTAAACCACCACAAGTTTTTGTTGAGCAACCTCCACTCATTGGGAAAAGTGTGCCACCACCACCTCCTATACCTGGTGCTCCACGCGTTGTGAGTGTTTTCTGTGACCTACCGCTGACTTGCATACTTATCACGCAATAGCATATGCTAAAGGACCAGTAGTTTAAATGGAATTTGTTTTTCTACCCTTATTCTCTTATTGAACTGTTCTTTATGACTACTTACTATCATAATTGTGGATATTTAGGCTTCGCATGCTCCTTTACCCAGGAAAACGCGAATTCGTTGGGCGGAAAATGTTGTGGATGTGAGTCAGGATTCTTTTCTATTACTGCCTTTGTGTATACTTTGAATTCAGAATGAGCATAAGTTTGGAAAGAAGCTGTCGAATGACCGAGATGAGGCAGTAAAGGCTGGCCTGCATACTAGAGCTCCTCCTAAAGACTTACTAACTAGAAAACCTCCTGCTCCTGTTCCTCCACCTCTTGCAACTATGGTACCATTCGGTGACATATGTAGAACATCGATAGTTATGATTTCTTTTTAGCCTCCAAATACACCCGCATTCGGTGTCAGTCCGGGACCCTCAGCGCCGCCTGCTGGCGGAATAAAGTACAAGGATCTGTTTCAAGGAGTTTTCAGTACTATAGCAAAGGGTATGATCATCTTTATATTTGAATACCTCTCAATCATTCATTATCCAGGAAAAGGTATTGATAATGAATCCAACAATGACGAATTGGTGCCGTCCACACTTCCTTCCACATCGGAGACATCGAAGGTAACAGCGAGAAATGTACTTTTACTGCAATACAGTTGCCTCCATTCAGATGCCAATCATACCGAAACGTATTGGAGGAAATAAGAATTGTATAATAACTTCACTTCCGTTACCATCTATTGGTCGCAGCGCAGAGGTATGTGACAGCGAATACCGCTTATGATTTTCTATTTTGTTTTCAGGCTAACAAGGAACTTGCCGGCGCTTCATCATCGGCTGCTCAACCAGAGGTAAACCTGTTATGCGTATCTAATGTTTCGGTCCAAAGTGCTTTGTAATCAGGATCCTACGGTTTGCGATATGGAGATTGAATCAAGCTCGGAGGGCACTCCAACTCCTCCACAAGCCAAATCTTCTCCGGACGGATTTGACGATGTAAGTTTAGAAAACACTTAGTAAACCTACCAGTATTTGTCACTCTCTTGATCTACTTTTTGTTCCTCTTTTCAACGATCGCTTCAGTAAGTTTTGAGCTTAAGAAAATCTTAGATGTTAGAAGCGGGAATGAGTTCAGGCGGTGGATTTTATTGATGATCAGGATGAAGATTACGATGCGCAGTTCAAATGCGAAATTGTGGATGAACCTTCCGATTCACCTCAGGGACCAGCTTCTCCTGTTCCAGCAGCGCAGAGTATGTTTTTATAGCATCTCAAAATTTTTTTTGTTGCTGGTTCTATCAAAATCGCACGTTATAGGTGTAGGGCCACCAACTACTACCATTCCCGTTGAAACGGAAAATTCACAGGTAAGCACGTTTAGTTATTTCAAGAGTTCACCTTTATCCTCCGTCCATTTATTAGCTTTGATAGTACATGAAGAGAATTGACTTTCACGCAAACATGTAAATTCTAGAAAGAAACAGAAATAGAAGTCTCAACACTACTGAAAGAACTTGCCCCGAAAAAGGAAGAGAAAAGTGTGCTCGAATCACTGATTGATTCTGACACTCCACCGAGTGAAGCCCCAGCTAGCCCTCCGTCAAGTCCACCAAGGACAGAAATGCCGGAAAATGTTGTGAGGTACATACGAACCTATAGAGTCAGCAAAAACAAGTTGTGACATTATTGCAACAAATGCTTCCTTTCTGTTTATTCTAAGGCTCTAAAACGGGAGCTAAAACGCTGGGTTTGCTCGCTCTATCTTTACAATCCACAACCACGCTTTTTGTCCACTGTTGTAATACAATTTAGGCTGCTTGAGTTGCTACGAGGAAATGAGACGTCATCCAAAAGTCGTGACACTGACTTGCGAAAAGAAATTCCTGTCACCAGCGCATCTGCCGCTACTAATCCAGAGTTTGGAAGACCGCGGAAATCGCGATTTGATCAACCACCACCCGAAATCGCTGGAGCCGGGTTCGTACCCAAACCCGTCCCTACGTCATCAATCGGTCAGTTTTGCATATTCACTTCCTGTATTCAGCATTGTCTGCAGGCATTCAGTGAAGCATTAAACCTCGCATGAGCATTAGAGAAATTGTGAATCATATAGATGAAATCAGGCAGTGATTAGTGCATGATTTTCTAGGTTATGTTGGCACGGTACCAGCATTAGGTTCGTCTGTCAAAGACACTGATCTACGATCCCAACCAGTAAGTTTTCAACATTCTTAATCTGGTGATGTAAACCTTATTAGTTACAGCCTGCAACGTTGGCATTCTCTATCAAGAAGACTACAACAACTTCAGCCTTGAACCCTCCAGCTCCTCTTATTTTTGGTGAAGACGTGGATGATGAAGATGTAGCAGATAATCAGCGAATAAAGACAAAGTTTGTCCATGACATTTTCTAGTTTTTTGCTCAGCATGCGCATATTGCGATCTGGACGAGAAAATTTGGACCTATTTTCAAATATAAACCTACTTTTAGTGAACGGAAGGACCGTGATGACCGAGTGAAACGATGGGATAAGCCAGCCGACGTTACAGTGGTGCGTTAAGAATTTTCGGTTATCGTGCTTTTTTGAAAGTATCAAAAAAAAAATGGTGATAACCGCCATGTGACCTAAATGAAAGGAAAGCTCGTTAGCACTTGCACATGTTGATCTTGATTCTCAAATTCTGCCGGATGTAAAATTTCTAGAAAACCATAACAACACAACCGGAAGCTCCGAGGAATACCGTGCCTCCAAATCTGGTTCCTGGGAAAGATAAGCCACCCGAAAATAGACTGTTCCATCTTCTGACCGGAGCCAGAAGTGTGTTGAATATTCACATCAAAATATCGTGAAAACTACCCATAGTCAGATAAATGTCCCGTGTTTACAGTGCTGCAATCACAGCGAGACAAACAAGGTGGTGATTTCGTTCCTCCAATTACAACGCAGTCTCAGTCAACGCCATACTCTGCTCCCTTGACGCAGTCTGGGGTAGAAATATCATTTGGAATTGAGATGGTATAATATTAATTTGGCGCTGAGTTTCAGGTAACCCCATTGCCACGAACACTGCCAATGGCAGTCGGAGCCAGTAATGCTTCCACCAGTGCACCATCATCTACAAGTACCCCCGTTACATCTACATCAACAACTCCGTTGTCACGAGTGCCAGTGACAGTGGGAGCAAATGCTACCAGAAATACATCTTTCTTCCAAAGTACTACCACCATGTCTGCGTCGGCCATTCAGTCTTCACGGATGCCAGTGACAGTCGCGTCCAATGCAAGCAGCAATACAACTGTGACCAAAAGCACTTCCTTGACATCTACATCGACCTCACAGTCTTCAAAATTCGACACAATTGGAAATGCATTTGGACTATCGAATAATGTGATCCAGCAACTTTTGAAAAGATCTAGCTCATCCTCGCAGCTCCCGCAATCAGCTCAAAATTCTGCTCCTGAAAAAGTCCAGGACGCTCCCGCCTCACCCGATCCACCAGCTTCACCCGAGCCTGAAGGTCCTGCATCGCCAGATGCACCAGCTTCTCCTGATCCTGAAGAACGGCCTGTCAACGGGCTTATACCACTGAATCCAAAGCCGCATTCAGTTGGTGTTTGTTTCAAGAATGCAGTTTTCGTTTGACGTATCTATATTTTTCAGGAAATACCATTGGATTGTTGGCAACCCACAGAGGATAAACGACCAGAACCGCCAAAGATAATCACCGTACGAACTCCTAAGAAACCAAAGCGGCCAAAAGATATCGACGGTATAGTTGTGAGTTTACATGTTATAGTACAACCATCTGCTCCCACTATACGCTAATGACCCTCAATTTTGTGTAGGCTGCTTCCCCCTAATTGCAGTTGTCAAAATCATAATCCTCAGTACTGGAAAGGAGCGTTTTGAACATCGTTTTCAACCATTTCCGCTTTTAGTGCAAGGGAGGCGAAGATCAACTGATGCATTCATGGATTAAAGCAGTAGAACAGAAGTCGGAAACGAGTTCAAAAAAGGTTTGTATATATTACCAGCTTTGGTTGATGTTGTTGTGGTGCTTGAATACTTTTATCTTACCGCAAAAAGTAATCAAATATTAAATCGAGTCATACAAGCAGTGCCCAAAACTATGGTTCAAAATGCGCTGACGAAAACTCAAGAGTAACGGTAGCGGTGCCAAATCCATCACCACCCGATTGGGCGGATCCAGATTCGCGAGTTACTATAGATCCTCACCGCTTAAATGCAGTGACGTCGCTGAAACATTCGTATATACATATGATTTATCCGGGGCAGTACTTACCAATCTCCCAGTCTCAATCGGGTGCTTTTTCATCGCTTTCCTCCCGATCGGGCGCCCGTTCAAATGGTGAAAAGGCGCCCAAACAGAAAGCTGAAGATTGATAAATTACCTCCCTTGGTTCAGTATAAATCCGTAGCTGGTGCTACAAAGTTTCAGAAATTATGTGAACTTCACATTCACTGCTTTGCAGGCAACAAGCTCCCGTAGCTCTCGTTCCGCCGATGAAGAGGAAGAAGAAGGGGAAATTCTTAGCGATGGGTCTGATGAGGTGGAGGAGAAGCCGCCTCCCAAGCCCGTTCCAGTTCAGGAGAAACCCAAACCTATCTCGGTCATTGGCGCATCAACAAATAACTTCCATTCTACAATTGTCAAGAAAACGACCAAACCAGATGTAAAACTTTTATTAGGGAGCTTCCGTTCGATTTTGCTTTGATTTTTGTTCTTTTCAGACTGCAACCAAGATATCTCCGTTTCAACCTGGTGTGTTCCCACCACAGGCAGTTGTACGTCCTTTTACTAGCGAACCAAATCCTGTGACCCAAAGGGGGTTCCCCAGTTTCCCACGCAACGGTCCATTTGGAACGGTATCGCCATGGGCTTCAAACTTTCCTCCTCCAGCTCGACCTGTACAAGGTACTGTTTAGTCGATAGTCCTGTTTTGATTATAGAACAAGAAGGAAGAAAAGAATCAATCAGTCGGCTGTCGTTTATCAACTGGAGACACCAAATTACACCTCTTTGTTCCAAAGTAATTACACAAGTTTGAGTTTATTATAGTGAGCCCTTTTCAATTTGGTCTCCCTCGCCAGGAAGCTCCTAGCATCACTGTCATCGTGCCAGATTTCATGATGTTCAACCGAGCGGCAATGTGAGACGTTCATGATGTAATCTTGAAGATATTCATTTTCATTTTTTTTTCAGGGCACGTATGGATCCCCCTGGCTTTGAAGCATTCTGCGAGCGTCTGAAAGTGATACAAACTAAAGAGAATAGGATAGTATCGCTACAAATACATGAGCGGTTGCTTCAATACCTTCGAGAAATGATGTAGGTTTTTTAGAGTATTTCGTGAAATGCCGCCCAAATCTTCATATTCAGGCAATCACTAGCTGGATCCGAAGCTGGTAACGCTTTTCATATGTACTACTCCATTATTGCTAAATACAAAGAGTTTGGCATAGTGCAGTTCATGGTGAGACATGCATGTGATGATGGTGATGTTTGTGCGGCACAGGTAAGAGTTATCAGTCACATTAACAAGGGTTCGATAAGTTTGTTCAGACTATCAATTGCTTTTCTGGACTTCGCAGTCACTATCATCCCTCAACGGTTATAATTTACATGTCGAGTGAGTTGGTTTTGAGTTTAGCTTGAATGTACAGGATCTACTAGCGAGCGAAATCTATTCGAGTTTTGTCAGATGAAAATTCTCGATTTTTGCATTGCAGAATGTACCCAGGTAAGCTAGTTCCAGAGCTTCAGGGATGGCACTGTGGAACAGCTAATTTCTATAATTTTCGACTCCTCTCAATCGACTGTTTTGACCATTCACCATCCACAATTAACCGTATCCTATACATTCTTCTCAGAGTCATCAATACTTAGCTACGTTTCTGCTCTAAACAAGAGTACGTCAGGATTGTCCAGGTTCGGCTGCCTCTTAACCTTGGCATGGTGGATACTCGTAGTTATTGGCTGAGCAGGAAGTTCGCTCAGCCAGTCCAACTAGCAATGAGAAGTATAATTTGGAGAAATCGCCGTTACTGAAGCTCCTCGGATGCAGAATTATAGAAATACAAAGTATGGCATCTATACTGCCTCGAACTTGCGGAAATGCCACTCACAATCAGCATCAAAATAACGTCGAGATGCTCTAGCCAACCACTCTCAAACACCATATATTCACAAATTCTAAGAAATGTTTTGTAGAAGTGAGCTTGAATCTATGCCTCGTACGCCAAGGATTACAATATGACGTTTCAATATGTTAATTTCCAGTAAGCATTTCCAAGATTGTTATTCATTAGTCAAGGCAGTAAATAGGTCGACGTTTCGGTGTCAACTAATAAACGGATACAATCTTGGAAACGCTTACTGAAAACTAGCATATTGAATATAAAATGCCAAGATTCGAGGATGGTCGAGCACGGAATATGAAGATTGTTTGGGCACATGTGAGAAGATCAGTCTTCGTTACTTGCTGCTTTATCGAGTATTAAGTTGCTCTCCGTAATGGGTCCAAAATACAATGAAAAATTGGATACAGCTCGCAGTTAATTCGTGGAAAGGTGGCAGCAATTACCACACAGGTTCTATCAAATCTCTTACGAAGTAATCTGCTAGTTTGAAAACACCGTAAGGTTGATTAGCGTGGGTAGAGGGAGAAGCATCAGCATAGATGGAAGGATTCAAGTTTCCAGGAGGAATCTATCTAGACTGCTGGAAAATACACATGCATCATTGTTTATATATATATATATATATATATATACAAAAAGATTCTGGTCTCATAAATTGTCAGTAGCAAGCGACATGAGTCTGACTCCGTCGAGTCGTATTAGCGCTGCAGCTGAAGAGGAATGGATAACTGCAGCTATAGAGTCGGCAGCGCCTTTTTGCAAAAAAAAAACAAAACAAGAGAACAGATACATTTGTTTGAGAAAAAGTGAAATGCGAAGACTTCTATCGTGAATGAGAGTTTCTCTTCTCATCAAGGGAGCTGAAAATCATTCAGTCAATTACCGGGTTATAACCGAAATTTCTACAACTTTGGGAGCAAAACTAATAAAAAATCCTGCCATAAAAATTCAATGTATGTTAATAAAATATAGTACATAAATAAATATGCATACTACACTTGTGGCATCAATGCATATGTATACACAACCTGAAGATAAGTTTATGGATAAGTGTTTTTTTCTGAGTGGATGACTTCAGACCGCAACGAGTTATTTTCTAGAAAATTGGAGAAAATGGTAAGCTGCCAGGTATATGTTTTAAATTTATGCTGCCAAATATTCTTGTTGTTAACATCTTACTACACATGATTCATGATGCATTATACTTTTTTGCTCCAAACAGTTCGGGAAGAGGTGCTTACCACACATAGGGTCTGTTAACATCTAGAACAAATTTATCAAAACATGATTCATAGAAAAGATCAACAGCACTGGCCAGCACGATTGGTAGTGGATCATCGAGCGAACGGTGTGGAACATATCGACGATTTTATAAACTTAGAACGAAACGAAAATGTGCACATCATGAGGAAGCGATGGCGTTACTTAAGCTGGGAAGTCATTTTGTGCGGCACACATTTTTCAAGTCTGAAATTATGCTTGCAATTAGGTGTGTTAGACTATCATTGAGCGAAGATGTATCGGGATACTACTGATGAATAACCTGTAGAGAACTGCAGTGACGTTCAAGATGTTTTTGAACACGAACAGTGATGAGACTTGTCTCAATTCTTATCCAAATTTGCTACAAGTAATAGTCAACAAATCTGTATTTTTATATTAAATTGATATTTCCAGATATGTCACCAAGCTCGGCCACAGGAACTGCACTGTCATCTTTGGGAGTGCGAGTGATTACTCCATGCAATGTGATGCGAACTTTTGGTTTTGATACCCAAAGAAGCCCATTCCTTTCATAGCACTTTAAGGCCATTAGTCAATACTATTTTTGTTCTTTGCATATCTTCCAAAGATCTGTGCTAGTAGGCTTTTCTAGTGACCCAGAAGGCTCTGATTGTTTCTTACGAGTACTCAAATAGATTGTGAAGAAGTTTCCACATTATTTGTAATCCGACATTTGTAAAGAGGCCGAGTCTACTACTCAAACCCATCGTTGTACTTGTTTTTAGCTTTGTCACTTGTCACTCTCTTGCTGATGGTGATAGTCCTTCCGAAGATACCGGTATTTCTGAGTTTGTATTAATTCGTGCTGTGTGTTTGTTCAATATGTACATCTTTACATGCTACAAATGTGTGTCCCATAGCCGAAGACAGAATTATTTATATGAATATGCTATGCTAATATGCTTCAACCATTTTATAGAATGTGCCCATCAGCATTAGTTAAATTGCTCCGTTTGTCAGTGCTGTGCAGTGCCCGTGATTTATTACTGTTATTTTCTGAAGAACCCTTACTCGATATGTACCTAAGACGCTGTTGAGCACATGAGAAAGTCTGCTATTCTCCTTACTGAAGGATACATTCATGACGATCATTCAAGCATTTTCTAAATCATCGAAAGCATTGCGAATATATTCAATGTGCAAATCATTCACATCTATAGTCTGTCCCAATCAAGATCAGGTTGAACCGCTGTGCGCGCACGCAGCGCAATGGGTTGCGCTGCATATGCGCACTGTTGGAGAGAGCGAAGAGTTCGAAGAGAGAGCAAACAAGCAGGGCGTGGGCGTGTCGCAAAAAATAAACTACGTGGACTCCATGCCAATTTTGGCCTGCCTGGGATTGGAACAGATCTTTCTAATTGTAAGAAAGGTTACGAATACATTATAAATACACTAATAATTTTCGAAATTATCGCTACTTTTATCGATTTTATCGACTTTTTGCAAAAGAGCTACGAGGCTGGGAGTTGGCTAGGGGGTAAGTGAGCATGCTGATTACGAATACAATATTAGTTTTTGGATTATCGATTTTTGCAAAGTTCGAGCTGCGGGGCTGGGAGTTGGCACGAGGTGGGTTAGTGGACATGTTATTTCGAAAACAAAATGGGGATAAGGAGTTGGCATGTAAAAGTGGCCACAGGGAAAGGTTGAGTGATAGGAACGGGATCTTCATCATAGTGTTTTGACAGGGCCAGGTGGAGCCGGGTATGCCAACTAGTATATATTACACTTTGTGGAATTCGAAATTCTTCTTCATGAATGGATATCGAAAATTGAAAATAAAAATTTCGAATGAACTTATATCGAGTTAATTTCAAAAAAAAATCTGAATAAACGATTAATTAAGAAATTCGAAATTTATGCTTCGAATGAGTGAATCTTGAACGAAATTAATAAATATAGTTCATAATCATAACCCTTTCTTACGCCCTGACCTTTGTGTGCCAAAATCATGAACGCGAAGGACGAGAGTTTGGCATGTTTACACACTTCCACTATACGTACTCGGACCATGAGCTTCAATAAATAGCTGTTTTTTGCTGATCGATGTCAATAACAGTGGGAACTATTTGACTATCGAAAAACAGTGAATCAAAATCCAGATCAATTTTTTGTCACAAGCAGTTGGAGGAATGCGAGTTCCCTGCAGTTCAAAACGGCAGTTTTCAAGGTTTATTCGGAACTCCGTTTTCTATTATCCAAGTTTTGAATCTCATTCGAAACCCTGTTAGTTGATTATTCGAGTTTCGATTTTCAACAAAAAATGGAAAACCTCCGAGTTTCAAATCTCGAATGCGAATATATTCGAATATTTTGTTCGAATAATCGAACTCCTATTCGATTGCTACCCAGGTTTAATATATTGTATAGAAAGATTAACCTTTATGATTTTGACGATCTTTCAGAATCTTTGCATTTGACCTATTTAATGATGACAACCGTCGTTTTCGAGAATCATACAAGACCATCAAGCTCTGAAAGATTATTGGTTACAGCTGGTTTGTCCGGCTCCGCTCGGCCCTGTCATACCACTGTGATAAAGCTTTCATCTATCCCTGTACAACTTTTTCTTTGCCCAAGTGTACATGCCAATTCCCTATTCCCGCTGTTTTAGTAGTTAGCATGCTCGACTACCCCTCGCCCGTGCAGTCTCCCAGCCCCGTAGCTCAAACTTTGCAAAAAAAAATCGAAATCGATAAAAATAGCGGAAATCCAGAAACTAATATTGTATTCGTAATCAGCATGCTCGATTACCTCCTGTGCCAACTCCCAGCCCCGTAGCTCGAACTTTTTGAAAAATCAATAAAATCGATATCGGTCGGTTACGAAAAGTAGCCTATGATACCCCCACCGCGACGAAGTGTATTCGTGGAAAGTTTGGCCCGGACCGGTTGAGAAATGGAATTTTCTTTTCGGAACATACAACAGACACACACACAAACAGAATTCAGCTTTATATATAAGATCCATGACAAGTCTTTTTTCGGTAAATTTATGCAACACTATGGAATCTAAACATCACGCCACCGTTACACATATTTTTGCTGACTAATGGTTTTAATCACTGCCGCTGCGGTACTTGAGAGGCGTGCGATATGGCTGCTGTGGTTGTGATGTTCGACTGCCTCTCTAGAAGGCTATGTGGGTTCAATAAAATTCTACGAAGTGGCTGGTTGAACAAGATTAGTATGATGCTGCGAATGCTTTCCGTTTTTTTTTGTACAGCTTCGATATATCTTGTTTTACCTATAACTCATATGAGCCAATTCCCAGTTCAATTTGGTTGTCAAAAATAATTGCAACCTTGTTGAGGCTAAGTTCGAAAGCACAAGAAATGATATATTTGCCAGTAACAGAACTATATTTTGGACACAACCCTAAAAAATATCAATCGTAATCTTGTGTGATGTTAAATGCATGCATTCTTGGAAGTAGTAACTGCTAGAAAGAAACTCTACCTGTATATAAAATAATGTATTCTTCTTCAGAGTGCGTTTTTCGTGTTCAGATTGCGATCCATTGCTATAGCGTAAATTCTAAATTTTGAATTCAACGTACAGCCTACTCGAGCTACTCAAGCAAATTGTTTCGTTTCAGCATTCTTTATGACTTCGATATAAGCATGTTTCGCAGTTAAGTGCTACGGCAGCACCTCATTCTTTTCATGTCTTTCTCATAATTTAGTCATAATCTCGATCACTCTGTCTTACCTTTCATACCTTCTAGCAATCAACTTTTACTGGTGTAGATGTTCGCAAACCTAAAATCATTGATTTCTAATGCAAAAGACGCCGTATGGGCAATTGAGCACTTGGAAATTTATAAGGTAAAATAAAGAAGTTTTAAATATTACTGTGTGCTCCTCCCACAATGATCGGCCGCCTCAACGTGGGTTGGAGTGACAATGGGTGTCAAACGCAATACAGCCGAATGTATACTGCGTATACTCTGGCAGGACCTCCCAAGCTGTGAAGGTATTTGACGTTTCCGTTTCGGCCAAATGCTTAGCAAAAAGACGAACAAGTCAGATGCACCACCGTCTGGTTTTTCTGATTGCCAGGTGGTTCTCCGGGGTCAATTATTACCCGACATCAAGAGCAAGGCCTAGTGAGTCTGCTCTTGTAGGAGAAAAAATTTACCACTTGTTCAGGGAGGAGAAAGAAACCCTGGCATCAAATCTTGCCTACGGCCTCGGATGGTAGAAGAACGGTGTCACAATTCAGGGAGCCAAACGCCATGGAGACTGCCTTATGGTCTGCACTACGGCGTCAGGACAGTCTCCACCGCTACCTTCATCCCTTCTCGCCTCGAAGAGCATTCACACACCACATCATAAACAAAGAACAAAAAGAAGGACGTGCGACAGATGAATGATGGGACTCAAATCATTTGTGGAGTTTCATTTTGAAATATCGGAGGCGTGGTTTGTCGTTTATCCATCTATCGTACATCTTCTCGATTTGCATGAGATCCTACCATCTCGGCTAGCCATTTTACGTCAACATTCCCCACGTCAGAAGACAATCAATCATCAAATGCTACTCGCCAACATCAGCAGCTGAGGAATCAGAAATGGGTGTTTTCACGAAAACGTGGAGGTCATCAGAAGTCCTTTCAAAGTTTGTTTGTGGGCGACAAGCGAAAATCGGGAGCCACTAGAAGACGAATATAGGATCGGGAACTTTGTATGGGCCCTGGAACGGAAACGGTAGCTGTCTAGTTGGGCTTCTCCTCTCCGCTCGACTTTTTGGTGTAAATTCCATCTTCATAAAGAAGGAACAACATTTGGCTTTGGGCCGGTAAGCCTAATGCGGAGATCGGCTACATCCTCACCAATCGGGGTGGAATCAACATGCAAGCCAAGTAGTTCCATCATTCTGTAGTGGCTCCAATCAGCCTTCTTCGCGCGAAAGTACGATTTAATCGAATGAAAGAGAAAATTTGCCGTAGCGTCGCAGAAAGGAAGGAGATCGTCTAAGCGGCGATAGGCTGGAGGAGCTCATTTCAAATTGCGACTGACCCATCGAGGAGTAATTAACGATCGACTATCCGGCTTCTGAAGGGATTGCTAGCTTGTGGAGAATGCTCCTCGGTGACTTTAGAGAAGAATTTGGAACACACTTTGAAGACCACTAAAGAGTTGCTTAAAGGAGAAAAAGGTTTAATGCAAGGTACAAATGCAAGCCATTTCGAGCTACTAATAGCGGATGCCAATTGCAGAACAGCTTTGCAGAGAATCTTAGGAAGTAAAGGCGAGCTAAGAGATACTGGAAGCAGCCGAAGGAAGACGAAGTCATGGGCCACTCTCACCCCGCGCAATTGCGAAAACTTGCTATCGTTATGACTGGATGAATAGTCTTACTAGTTCACCGCGCGCCGATCTAATGCGCAGGTGCAGTCTTCATAAGTCGATGCAAGCGTGTCACTTCTATCTTATCGGAAAAAAGAGTGCGTTTACAAAGAATTATAGGCCATCGTAGCGTTGCCGAATCGCTTGGCGACCGAAGCGCGCAATGATTGGTGAATTAAGTGCCTAAGGAATCTGTAAAACTCACTTAACGCTGGCAGCATTATTAAACAAGGAGGACCTCAATTTCTCTTCCAAACTCAGGATGGAATCTATCTCGAAAAATTTCTACACAAATCTCTATCACTCATTAACACTTTTATCGATGAGTTGTTCCTCTTGGAGAAATATCACAATGGTTACTACCTTCTGAAGTGCGCAATGGGGCTCCAGACCATGAAGACGTCTGTAGCTCTAGGGTCAGATCATCTTTTCGCCTAAATTCTGCATGCCGGAGGACAGCGTCTATATCAGATTCTCGCATCGCTTCTGCCTTCTGCCACATTGTGCCTTCAGAACGAAAGCATTGCCGACCCAGTGGAGAACTACAATAACCGTCTGTGTTTTCGAGAAGGGTAAATGAGAGGATCTTTGGAACTATTGTGCAAAAGTTAAGGATGTAAGCTTCTAACGGAGATTATCCTCTCTCCATATCTAGTACATTAGGTGAAGCCAAGAACAAACTGGATTTCGCAA